GTACAAAAAAAATTTGACATTTTTTAAATTAAATTTTAGAAATTATATTAGTTTTATTATTATTATTACAATGATAGTAATTTTATTATTTCAAATAATTCTAATTAGTTTAGCTACTACTACTGCTATTGTTTCGATCATCAGTTAGGTACTGGCCAACAAAACATCAATCAACTCAACACGCACACATATTATTTTTGACCAAGCATTATTTTTCATCATCGTCGTCGTCATCATTATCGTCTTCATCTCAGTCATCATCATTTCTCTCCAAAGTTGTTGAAGAAATGAAATGAACTGAAGAAACAAGCGGATTTAACATCGAGATCCCAAATTAGACGAATGACATTGCGGGGCAGGCAGACCAGCAAATGAACAAAAGCATTCAGCTTCGAAGCAAATCAAAATTAAAGACAACATTTTTATTTCCTACTGGCAAGAAACAGAAAAAATTGCAACAACATCCATCTTCTGCTTTCTTTCTACAAGGCGTGCTATGAAATCACAGCAAACAACAACAAATAAACATCCAATCAGCCAACCAACCAATCAGCCAATCAACCAATCAGCCAATCAGCCAACCAATCAATCATTCAACCAGTCAACCAACCAGCCAAATACGACGACGACAATGATAAAGATGAGGACGGAAGATGAAATGCTCATTTTGTTGACATTAGATTCCAGTTCCATATATTCATTTCATCGCTTCATATCACTTTACATTCATACTCTATATTATGCATAATAATAACAACAATAATAATAATAATTAGTATTATTATTATTATGCGTGAGTGAGAAACTGAAAAATATGATTTTAATTTCAAAGAAATTTTCAAGTTCGACAGTAACAAACAACAACCAGCCGGATACAACACAATACAAGCACACGAATGCACTTGTGATGATGCAACGCACGTGCTTACCTACCTAATGAAACAACAACAACAACAACACAACGACAACAACAACAACAACGACAACAACAACAATAACAATAAGAACAGCAGTAAGAATGATAATAACAACGCCACATTTAACTAAGAAGCTTCCTATTCCTCTGTGAATGAACTTTTCCTCATCCGCCACATCGATTTCATCGTTTCGTGTTTCTATATTTTTCAAATTATAATTATAATAATTATATCTTTTATTATTTTTATCGTTATTATAAATATTATTATTATTATTCTATTTATTGCTATAAAATCAGTATATTTTTAGTAGAAATGTTGTTATTATCCCTTTGTACCGAACGTCATTTTCACCCCGGCTGCCGATTACCATCATTACATTTAATTCTTCTTTTCTATGTATGTGTTTGTGTGTGTGCGTATGAGTGTGTATATATGTGTATATATGTGTATATATATATATATATATATATATATATGTGTGTGTGTGTGTGTGTGTGTGTGTATTTGTTTGTTTGCCGACGATACGCAAAGAAACAATTGAGGAAGTTTTATGAGTAGATCGACAACGAAATTCATGGAAAGAATTTAAAAATTACAAAAAATAACTTCACCTTGTAAGAACAAAAGAATATTACACACATCACTTTAACTTTCAATTCGTCTATGTATCTGCCTGCCTGTCTGTTTGTTTGTCTGTCTCTGCCTGTCTCTATTTCTCGCTCTCTCTCACTCTTTCTTTTTCTCTCTGTATATCTTTATGCATGCTTGTGCGGAATATACGAAAAAGCTTTTGAGCCTGACTGTGAAATTGACATTGTGTGTAATTATTTTCATTGTTCGCTTCTTGATTGTGTTGACCGCGCTGCTGATAAAGATGATGATGCTACTGCTGCTACTACTACTACTACTACTACTGCTGCTGCTGCTGCTTCTGATGATGATGCTGATGATGATGACGACGACGATGATGATGACGATGTGGTTGTTTGACAGAACATTGACGACGTTAAAGAGATGATATCTGTGTAAACTTTTGTAACAATGGCAGAGAAATGATGATAGATAACGCTATAATGATGGCCATTATGCTGCGTTCAGGCCACTCTAATAACCAAGCCGTGGACAACAACGACAACAACAACATCAACAACAACATCAATAACAACAATAACAACAACAACAATTAAACAACAACAATTAAACAACAACAATATTACTTTCATTTTCTGCTCACAAACATTGAAAATAGGCCTCATAAAATGAAGCCATATTATTTTAATCAACAATCGTAACAACAATTACATCAACAACAACCATCACAACAACAGCCATCACAACAACAACAACAACAACCACAGAACTTTAATAGAATCACCTGATAATTCTTTGTTGGTTATTTATGCCGGTTCATGAATCACTTAACTGCCTGCGCCTGTTGTATAAATATAGAATCCTCTAGATCGTCATCATCGTCGTCGTCATCATCATCTATATATACACATACATACTCACACATACACACACACATACATACACACACACAATAACATCGCTGAGCACTATTTATATTTATTTGCATTTTATTGGATTTCATTGCTGTTTATTTGTTCCTCATCATCATCATCATTAACGTCTTACATGGCAGACATTTTAAACGTCCTAGCAAAACAATTATCCACCAATTTTTGGAATCCTTCCTTCCTACCTTCCTTCCTTCCATTCTTCATTCATCCATGTTTTATTTATTCCTTTATTAATTCGCTCCTTCATTCATTTGTCGACCTTAAAAAAGTTCTTCACCAACTTCAACAACCTTGCCATTTGTTGATTGATAGATTTGTTCGATTGATTGATTTGTTTCTTATTCACTAAACAGTCCATCTATCTTTTTATTCATTCATTCGTTTGTTTATTCATTCATTCATTTATTCATTCAATCAATCATTCATTCATTCAATCAATCATTCATTCATTCAATCAATCATTCATTCGTTCATTCATTCATTCATTACAAAATAATCTATTTTTTACAAAGAGCTCTTAACGCATTCATCATATAATGTAAACTTATTTATTTCCGCTAAGTCGGTTTTTATGTTGTTAATATGATTTTAATGGCGACGACGACGATGATGACGATGATGATGACGACGATGCTGATAATGATACAGTTCCATCTCGCTTCACTTACTTCTAATGGGAACATGTTTGACCATTGCTCTAAAATCTTTTTTATTCATTCTTCCTTAAATGCTTTCTTCTCTCTCTCTCTCGCTCTTTATCTATCTCTCTCTCTTTCTCTGTATCTATCTATCTTTTTTCTTGCAGTTATTTATTCATTTTTCAATTTTTCCTTTAATCTTTTTGGTTTTCTCTCATTAATTATTTTCATCACGATTTGCAGTTTTTGAAAATTTTTGGCATTTTTTGCTTCGGCATTCCACATTCAGCATTGTTTATTCCGTATTTGGTTCATTTTTTTCCGTTTTTCGTTTACCTTTTGTTTATTTTTGTTTGTTCTTTTGTTTATATTTTATTTCTCTCTCGAATCTTCATTCTCACTCACCCTCCTTAATGTAAATTAATTCAGCTCTGCATGGCCGAGCATGACGTAAGCCTCATTAACATAACTCCAACGACGTTCCAGGTGATGACGTCACATGCGATGTTGTGACGTCATCATAGGTGATGTCCTTACACCATGCTTCTGTTACTGTTACTGCAGGTAGAGTAACTTTATTGCGGGTAATGTATGCAAATAATATTAATTCGTCGTTATGTATTACAAACACACACACACACATACCACACTTTCACACACACACACACCACACACACAAAGAAAGGCACATTAGAGAAACATCGGATGAACGTGCAAAGAAGAAAGGAGAATACCTCTGAACTGTTGAGTGTCGTCATTTCGCGCATATTAAATTAAAAACTGCAGGCGAGCCTGATGACAGCTTGTTGCTGTTGGTTCTTTCATGTTGAGTGCCTCCAGAATTTGTGCATCATCTCCACTGATTGATGTGTACATTTCATTTGAGGGCATGTACACATGCGAGTACACATGTGTACAACGAACGAACAGATGGATGGATGAATGCTAGAATTATCAAAGAATATTACCACCAGCAAACATACTTAATTAGACATTCCCACAGTTCTATTTAAACATAGCAGCCTTCTTTTATTACACAAAACCAACCTTCGTTGCATTTTTAAATATTATTACCGTAATAAAAATCATAAAATTCCGCAATTACATTTTATTTCAGGTGCGTGTCTGACGAAGAAAGAAGAAAAAGTTGTCATGTTGGAAGTCGGCGTACGAGCGGTAATCGTCATTAATAAGCTCTCGCACGACATCAGCGTTTAAACCAGCTCCTGGAAGAGTCTCTTCAATCGACCGAGTTACTTCATAGTAACTACTATTGCTGCACAAGACCGCCTGCTCAGACAACTACAGAAAGTGCAGCATAAACTTCACTAACTACAATATACAAACGACACGAACAACTCCATAAACAACAATTAAAATAACAATTTGAACAACGACATAAATTACTACGCAAATAACAATTAAACCAATAAGAGAATTTGAAAATGAACGAAGAGACAAACAACAACAACAACAGCATAAATAAACATTCAATGCAATTATTATCAAAAAGTCAGACAATTTACAACTGCATAAGAAGACACAAAAGCAACTTTAAAAATATTTTAAGTTAGATGAAGATATGCTACATAGGTTTGTTTGATCACCGAGAACAATGATTTACGATTCGACAACATAGAAAATAAACCTAGAAACATACACAAAGAGGAACCTGCACAGACGTACACACAGACAAACATACACAGACACAAACAGACGAACATACACAGACGCACAGAGGCGTGAACATTAAAATCCCTTCGTGCGGTTATCAGATTCAATAGAATTTTCTAGACCGGCTTTTATAAAAGGGGGCTTTGCGACATAAATAACCGCTGCTATAAGGACAATAACTACTACGTCCGAGCAACAAAATCAATAAAAATAACCACAAGAGCATCAACCGAATTTGCAGCAGCATGTTCACTCTAGACAGCGACAGCAACATTAGCACGTCTCCCAACGGCACAAACCTTCTACCCTACCTCTCCAACCTCTCCAACCTCTCACTGCAAACAGACAACGAAACGCTGGAATGTGCTAACAAGACTGCGATCCTGATGAGGCACGTGCATGTCACCATCATGCTCGACCGCTTCTGCACCCCTCTCTGGTACCTCATCGGATTCCTCGGCAACTTTGCCTCGGCTCGCGTCTGGTCGAGTAGACAGGCGCGCAAGAAGAACACGCAGTCCGCCATATTTCTCGCATCTCTAGCCGTCAACGATTTTCTCTTCCTCTCTCTACACATCGTCCAAGAATTAAAAGTTACATGGGAGATTTGGACACCGATCGATTCTCCGATTGTTTGCAAACTATTTCCATCCTTAATCATTTGGTTTCAATATTTAGCTCCGGTTTTGGTATTAGCATTTACTGTTGAACGATTTTTAGCTGTCTGTCACCCATATAAGAAATGTCAATCGACCGAAAGTAGAACGGCAGTGAAAGTGGTGGCGATGACGGTGCTTGTCTGTTTGACCTTTGCCCTCGGGCAGACGTACATCTGGTTCTACGATGTTGCGTCTGAGAAATGTGGTTTCAACATTACCAGGATGGACTTCTGGCTGGTTTGGTGTGCGCTGACGGAAGCTTTGTTCTTTCTTGCGATTCCTGCGGCTATTTTTATATTTAATTTAGCCGTTATGAGAACTGTGTACAGGCTGAAACAAGAAGAAAAAAAATTAATCTACTCGAAAACATCTTTGGCTCCTCTAGCTAGCAAAAAATTTGCTCAGACTAATTGTACTGCAGGTGGATCTCAAACCAGCGATCTATCGGGCAGGCAGTCAAACTTTTCATTAGGCAGGTTGCTGACCGATCCAGTGTTCCTCTCCTTATGGAGATGTGAAGCCAGACCGGCAACCATTGAAACAATCAACTCCAACAACCCAACACCTTCTTCCGTCAAATTTTTTCCATGCCAACCTGCTCTTGCTGAAGCAACGACTGCTGACAAAGAAATTTTTCCCCACACATCTGTCACTCGCACCACGACTCCGACAACTCCCAATTTTACGAGATCCTCATCAAACTCCATGTCCATTCCCGTTCACAGCCAGCTGAAACATTCATCATCGACGCAAAACAATCGAGCCAACAGCAACGGCACCGATGTAGACATGATGAATTCGTCAAACACCAACAACAACAGCCGATGTCTCGCCACTAACTTCACACTCCTCTCCGTCTCATTCTACATCATCCTCACCACTCTCCCGGCAACTCTCGTCTACTACTTCGACTTCAACGACCTCGGTCCTTGCGATCTGACGGACGAGCAGATCGAAGTTCATCCCGTCTGGAGACGATTTTTCAACTACTACAGCCTGAGAAAGCTGGTCGAAGAGCTGTGCATGTCACATTACGCCTGCAACTTCTTCATCTACTTCCTCACCAGCGCTCAGTTCAGGTCAACATTCAAGCAGGTCTTCAGCTTGCATCGATCCAATCTGGACGACAATTTTTATCCCCATCGCAATCCTCATCTACATCAACAACAACAGCAACAACAACAGAACCAACAACAACAACAGAACCAACAACAGCAGCAGAGTAGCGGCCCAAAGTGTTGGAAACTTTGTAAATGTGCAACAGTTGATTCGGAACATTGTGAGCAGAAAAATTTTTGTTGCATCAAGCAAATGACAACTTGAAAGAAATTGGTTGTGAGACGTGCATGTATGTTTTGAAACTTGATTTCAAAATTTTCGTTCACATTTTAATTTGATATTTGTAAGAAAGTTGCCTGTGTTGTTTTATATTTTTTTTTCGTAGCACATCTGCTACTAATTCTTGGTATTACAATTTTGCAAATAAAACAGAACTAGTAAATTATTAAACAAACATTTCAATTTCATTAAAAATCTCTCAATTTCCATGGAATTAAATTTAAAAGAACATCGACATGGATGTAAGAGATGAACTTCTTCGAAGTGATGGTCTGTGGATAAACTGTTGACGAATGGGCTGCCAAAAATCCTGAAAAGATAAGAGCAAAATCCTAGTTTGATCAGATGTTGAACTTGATCAGATGTTGAACTTGATCAGATGTTGAACTTGATCAGATGTGGAACTTGATCAGATGATGAACTTGACCAGATGTTGAACTTGATCAGATGTTGAACTTGATCAGATGTTGAACTTGATCAGATGATGAACTTGACCTGATGTTGAACTTGATCAGATGTTGAACTTGATCAGATGTTGAACTTGATCAGATGATGAACTTGATCAGATGATGAACTTGATCAGATGTTGAACTTGATCAGATGTTGAACTTGACCAGATGTTGAACTTGACCAGATGTTGAACTTGATCAGATGTTGAACTTGACCAGATGTTGAACTTGATCAGATGTTGAACTTGATCAGATGTTGAACTTAAGATCATAAGATGTTGACACATAGATTTACGGCAAGATGAGGTAATGCGGTGAATGAAAACCACGAAGAAATATCTAATTAACCACAAAAATAATGTAATAAATAGCTTTGCGAATGTTTTTAATGCTGCTTGAAATAATTGAAGACATTTTAAAATAATTCAATAAGAAATTCTTATAGAAAAGAAGTAGAAACTAGAAAAAAAACAATTATACAAAGCGAGAAGTGCTGTGGAGTGCTACTGAGAAGATGACGATGACGATGTTGATGAAGATGATGCTGATGACGATGAAGATGATGCTGATGACGATGAAGATGATGCTGATGACGATGAAGATGATGCTGATGACGATGAAGATGATGATGAACTTAATGGAGACGACAGTGGAGAAAAATTTAATGATGATTAATGCTTCTTGATAATGTAGGTCTCCCGCATAGATTCGCATGAAATTTTAAATTTGAATAACAACAATAACAACAACTACAACAACAACAATAATAATAACAATAAACAGTCATAATAGTGATAACAACGCAGAGGCAATTTCAGTATTTAGAAAACTTAGCGCAAAAGTATGATGGAAAAAAATGATTAAAATTTTCAAAAACTGGTTTTGTAAGTAAACAACTTTTTTTTATAGCTTTTTAAACTGAAATTGAAATTAAAAAACAACACAAACAACAGCAACATAAACAACAACCACAAGCAACACAAACAACAACAACCACAACAACAACCACAACAACATGAACAACAACAACATAAACAACAATAGACACTGAACAACGTTATAATGGACAGATAAAGAGATTTCGAAATCAAATGAAACCTGTGAAGATAAATTAATATCAGAACATCAAAATTCGAATCAGTCTATAATTAACAAGTAGGAAGATATTGATGAGGATGACGATGAAGATGAAGAAGATGCTGATGATGAAGATGAAGAAGATGTTAATGTTATTGTGTAGGAGGGGGCGATTGATGTTTTTGTTGATGTTATTGATGCCATTGTTAGTTTACAAATTCGTCAGTTCAAATCCATCTTAATTCTGCATGCTAATCTAATAAAATGCACGCTCACCTGCCAATAAAATGTATCTTCAAATCCACAAAGTTTCAATGAAAGGAACGGTGATGAATGTACGTAAGCACAGACAATCACAATTTTTTTCTGCCTCTTTCGTTATTAAATTTAATTAAATTTCATTTTGTAAGCCTTGGCTCAGTTGTAAACCCTGTTGTAATGTAAATGTGGCTGTCGTAAGCGTTGCGTCGCAAGTGTGGCTGTAGCAAGTGTGGCTGTCGTTATGAAAATATTGTTTCTATTGTTTTTGTTGGCTGAAGTGAGAGTCGAATTTTAATAAATTTCACTTGGATGGTGATGATGATGATGATGATCATCATCATCATCATCAACGTCACCATCATCATCACCATCATCATCATCATCGCCATCATCATCATCATCGCCATCATCATCATCATCGCCATCATCATCATCATCAACGCCATCATTATTGTACATTTGCTTAATTATTTAATTAATAATTTTGCGGATGATGAATCACACCCCCCGCATCATTTTTTAACGTACTCTTGAGAGAGAAAGAGAAAGAGAGAGAGAGAGAGAGAGAGAGAGAGAGAGGGAGGGAGAAAAAGAGAACTCGAGAGAGGGAGAGAAAGAGAGAGAGTGATTCAATTCAACCACACATGTACACTTACAAACGTAAGAATAATGTAGCTACCTACATTTCACCAATAGAAACTCAATAGCGAACGAGGCAACAAAGCATTAGGACTCTATCACAGTACAATGCGACAGTCAAATCACTGCAAATGGCACAATAACACCAACTAGATAAAAACATATACACATACACAGGTACACACACGTACACACACACGTAAACAGGCATGATGTACCACACAAGGTAAATTATGCCGAGACAAAAACAAACAACTTGGTACATCTATTTTTCTTGTATTTGCATAATACGTTTGTTTGTTTGTTTGTAAGTATATTTGTATATCTGTATGTTTGTTTGTATATAGGTTTGTAGCAGTAGTAGTAGTAGCAGTAGTAGTGGTAGCAGCAGTAGTAGAAGCAGTAGTAGCAGTAGTAGTAGTAGCAGTAGTAGTAGCAGTAGTGGTAGCAGCAGTAGTAGCAGCAGTAGTAGTAGGACATGGCGTGGGTTTTTGATGGGGAGCATCGAAAGTCGCCGAACATATGGCCGAATTTACTGCTTATATGCGAACATACAGACACACATACACACATACATACATATAAACATACATATATACATAGTACATACAGGCATACATACATACGTGTGTATACATACATGTATTTTTTACAGATACAGATAGGATGTACAACACGTTAGTGCGTACAACTTGATTGTTCACTGAGCAAACATTATGAAAAGCATCGTTAGGTTCGTGCGTTCACCATACAAACATTCGCAAACACACAAGCATAAGAATAAACATAGAAAAACTAACATAGAAACACACAAACTCGAATGTAGGCTTGTTTGTTTAAACGTTATTAATAAATACTATTATAGATACAAATATCAATAAACTTACGTGCATGATATTTTCATTCTGGGTAGCTATATTTTATCGATAGGATTTTCAATGCGTTAAAGAGAAGGCTGCCTTCGTTTGGATTAGAAGTGAGCATGGGATCCCCATGCAAATCGGCAAAACAATCCTATATGACTCTATACAACTTTATATAACCCTTTATATAACTTTTTGTGTCTTTGAAGAAATAAATAAATAAATAAATATAACCCTATGTAACTCTATATAACTCTATACAACTCTATAGATGTGTTAAAAAATGTTGAAAATGGAAAAAATGGAAAGCGGGAGGAAATTGGAGGGAGAACGCGGGAATGAGTTGAAAAACAGGGAATGGGAATTTTCGGGAACGTTGTCATAAATGGGATTTCGGAAGAGAATCGGAAATGAGGAAAATAAGTTGGAGGGAATTGGGAGCAACTTTCAATTCCCGCTGGCTGGCCGCTCACCTCCAGTTTGAATGGATGGATGTTTTCTGTTAACGACATTTGCTGTTTCGTTCGTTCGTTCGTTCGTTCGTTCGTTCGTTCGTTCGTTCGTTCGTTCGTGGGTAAATAATTTTGATTCAAATGTCTGGATGTTTGGTTGATGTTGTCAAATGGTTTTCACTTGTTCGTTCGTTCTTTCATTCTTTCATTTGCTTATTGTTACTTTCAGGGGAATTCACATTATTACATTATTATTTGAACATTTAATTAAAAACTGTCAGTCGGTAAACAGAGAGAGAGAGAGAGAGAGAGAGAGAGAGAGAGAGAGAGAGAGAGAGAGAGAGAGAGAAGAGAGAGAGAGAGAGAAAGTTAAAAAACAAGTCAAACAAGCAAACGTTTTAATTTTAATTTTTTAAGACAACGGACCAAACAATTTTGTTAACATGAAAGGTATGCAGATGTCCGTTGATACGTTCACGTTGTTCATGTTTGCATCGTAGGAAGCGAACATTACATTACGAACAATGATGACGACGACGATGATGATGTTGGGTCCCACAACGTAACGTGACAAGAAACAACAGAGCAACAAAGCATAGGGAGGGTAGGACTGAGTGAAAAGATTGGCTGGTAACTAATTAACGCGTTGCCTTTAAAAAGCACTTATGGTATTGTTTCTTTTGCTACTGACGCTTCTAAAATAATTCAGAAAACAAAATATCATTGATTGTGTGTGTTTGTTTGTGAGTGTATGTGTGTTTGTGAGTGTATGTGTGTTTGGCAAATAAATTATAAACTAAACCCTGTTGTACATGACTGGCCGTAAAAAAACGTTTGACAAACAGAAGTTGAAAATAATGAAAGCATATTTTCGTAAATAAAAATTCAAAAAATATCATTTAGTTAAAAGTCGGTAACTCAATCAACCAATCAGCCAACTATCCTGCCAATCAACCAGCCAATCTGCCAACCAACCAACCAATTAGCCTGCCAACCAACCAACCAACTACACAAATCAGTCAAACCCAATATTGTTGATCGTAAAGTAGCGGATTTGTTAGTCTGCAGTGTGCCAATAATTCCGGGTCGATGTCTTTCCAGTTGAAAATACCTGCAAATATATTTGTATATATGTATGTGTGTGTGTGTACCTGTCTGTGTGTGTCTGTGTGTGTATGTGTGTGTATGTGTGTGTCTGTGTGTGTGATCGTATGTGTGGCGAGTTTTAAATTATTGACATAGTTTTAAGTAAAAATTGTTTGCAACTTTGTTCACTCTTAATTTCATTTAGGTTACTGTAATATGTATTCTGAGTTAGTTAATATGTTTGTTTGTACGTATGTGTGTTTGTTAGTTTGTATACGTGTTTGTTTGTATGTTTGTTTGTATGTCCGCTTGTATAATCTTGACTGGAGAAGTAATTGTTCATCTGATAGAAAGCCATATAAGTTATGAAGATGTTTAATTCATTTAAAAGCTACTCCTCGCCACCTCAACCTTCTACTTTCTTTATTTGATTCAGTGGAACATTTTTTTGCGCTGTTGTTGCTACTGCTGCTGCTACTGCTGCTGCTAGCCACAACAATAACAACAACAACAGCAGCAGCAACAACAAAAAGATTTTAAAAAAATGTAATGGTGTATGCATTTGAAAATAAAAAAAAAGATGAAGAAACGTAGTTTCGTGAAACCTTGATGTTCTGCTGGCTGATCATTATTACTACTACTACTATTGTTGTTGTTGTTGCTGCTGTTGTTGTTGTTGATGACATCATCCTTTTCCTCATTGGTCATATTATCGCCTGCGCAAGAAATCTCGTCATCACCATCATTGTTGTCGTTGTTGTTGTAAAAATCACTCAAAACCTCATTGTTGAAATCATGATCAACAAAAGTTACGTAAGACGGCAATTGTTCGTTGTGTTGTTGTTGCTGATGTTGTTGTTGAAGTTGTTGTTGTTGAAGTTGTTGATGTAGTTGGCGCTGATGTGGAGGTAAAGACGGAGGAAGTTGATGTAACTGCTCATTCATTTGTGGTTGATGTGTTTGTGGTTGTTGATGTTGTTCAACATATTGCGATTGACGACGTTCATTTTGTGGCTGTTGTGAGTAACATTCCGTTAATGTTGTCGGCGTTGATGTGGCGAGGTGGTTGTGGCGACGACAAGGATGCTCTGGTGGCTCGTCGTAAATGTGCTCCGATGAGTAACTCCTGTTGCTGTCACTTATGTTGCTGGGGCTGATGTATTTGGAAGTGTCTGGATGAAAACTGTCATGATGGAGATTATTGATGTTGATGTCATCATCATTCGAAGAACGAACTGGCACCAAGTAGCCGACAGACGTTGATGAAAACATCGGATCGCACCGAGCGTCACTACAGCTACCGCCATCACTCTTCATCTTCTTCATGGCACCCATGATTTTTCTACTATTGACATCGCATTCCATCATCTCCATGTTATTATTATTATTATTCATATTTGTTACGTCATCGTTTCTATGGCAACTCAGATGTGTCATCTCGTCATCAATGCGGTCTTCCGCTTTATAGGATGCGCTTATCCTGTTCGAAGCACCAGCAGTTGCAGCAGCGGTTGCAGCAGCGGTTGCAGTTGTCGCGGCGCGTTTCTTCTTGCCACCGCAACCACACATACACTTGACGATGATGAGGATGACGACAACGAGGAGGAGGAAGAGGAGCGCCAGCATCCCGATCATTATGAAGCGCCTCATGTTTAAATCGAGAGGTGAGACATCATCGTCGTCGTCATCTTTCATGTCGTTGGTGTTGTTGTAGAATTTATTGTTGATGTTGTTTCTTTGTTTAGGATAGGAACTTGTATATTTCTTGTCATTCGTTTCAAGGCGCTGACTGGCATTGGCATTGTGAACAGCATTTGCACTGTCCTCATCATCATCATCATCATATCCGAAATAATAATAATCATCGTCGTCGTCATCATCAGCATCATCATTCCTTCTCTTCAGTTTTATCTTGAGCCTGCCCTCAGCCGGTTGCACGTTCCATGACGTCACAATGTAGGTCAGTTCATCACTCCACTGACCCAGATATTTATTTGGATCAGGTTTGTATTGGACGTGGTTTAAAAGGAGGTCCGAATGTCTGAAGTGAAAGAAATGTACGTCAGTGAGGTTGTTGTTGGTCGTTGGGTCTGCCTGCACTTCTCTGCAGCAATACGCATACAGATTGTCTACCTTGGTCATTTGATCATCATCATCATCATCGTCGTCGTCGTCGTCGCTCGTGTAGTTACTGTTGTCACTTGCATCATCATCATCATCATCGGCATGTCGTCTCGACCTAACAAACTTCTTCAGCCTGACTCTCAACCATCCATACAAAGGCGGTCTAATTATGTAAAAAATTGGGTCATCATTAGTCACGTGAGCCAATGAAGTAGCATTTAAATGGGTCAAGTTGAGGTCGATCCACTCATTATTGATCTGGAGAGGCCTGTAGACAACCAGAGGTTTGGAACTGAGGAGAGGTCTGACGAGAACGTTCAAGGGTTCATCGAGCAGCAAAACCTCGAAACAGCTGATCGTCAGAAGGACGCTGTCGAAGTTTGCGCTTCTGTTCTTCTGCACGTACACAACTCTACCCAACATCAAGTCACGCATTTTGAAACTGGAGCAGACACGGGATCCGCAGACAAGCAATCCCTGCCGGAAACTCATCTGCAAATGGACCGTCACTTCCGGTAGAATGTAGGGCGCATTCGTTTGAAAACGAAAATGGCTGTGACGAAATGTGGCGTAGAAAGAAGCTTGAGTGATTGTAATATTTTTTATGGAATCCACTTTTAGTTCCAGTGGAATGATTTTGACGTGAATGACTTTGTGGAAAGAACGAATGTTGAGATGGTGGTTGTTGTTGTCTTTCCATGTTGTTGTTGTTGTTGCTGCTGTTGCTGTTGTTGTTGTTGCTGTTGTGTGCGTGTTGCTGCTACTACTTGAAGTCCCAACACGTCTGTATGTGACGTCACCGTAGTCATCGTCATTATTATTATTATTATCATTATTATAGTTGTTATCATTTATGGTATCTCTTCTCTTTGATGTTCGATAGACAGACAAATATATTATGTCGGTATTTGCCGCGTTCGTTTGTTGTTGTTGATGTTGTTGTTGTTGATGTTGTTGTTGTTGATGTTGTTGCTGATGTTGTTGCTGATGTTGTTGTTGATGTTGTTGTTGTTGATGTTTCTCATTATAAGCGTAAAGATCGCTGTATCTTTCAATATTTTTATTGTCATTGTTGTTGTTGTTATTATCTACGTTTTTGCTTCTTCTATTATCAACAGTGTCGTTGTTGTTGTTGTGAGCGTTGTTGTTTAATAGAAAAATGATCACGTGATTTGTGACGTCACTTTGCGTGAAGGATGTGATTGGTGGCTGCGACTCAAGCAAATCTCTTGTAAGTAGTAGAGAGGACGACGACGACGATGATGACGACGATGATGAAGACGATGATGATGAGTTTTGAAGAGAAGCAGGCAACCTAACAAACCTTCCCACGCTGGGATGTTCGGTCAATTTGAAAACCACATCCTCATTCCGACCCTCAGCATCACCGTCGTTATAACCACCATCATCGTCACCATCGCAAGCATCGTCGTCGTCATCGTCATTAATTATAATATTATTATTATTATTTCTATCATAATTTTTCATTGCCCGTCCGGACCAGAGAACTTTCATGATGGATTCTTGCAGAACCATCCAGCCACCGTCAACAATCTCCCATACGGATTTCCAATTCTGGAAACGCAATGAGGACCATTTGCAATCTTCCAGACCATTATCATCATCATCGTCGTCGTCGTCATCATCGTCACCATCATCATTATCATAATCGCCACCACCATCGTCATCGTCACTATCGTTATCATCATTGCCGGGCCATATTTTAATAGTCATGCGCAAACTGGATAGCTTATGTACTGGAAGCAACGCTGATTGTGATGATGCTGATGATGACGATGATGATGATGATGACGATGATGATGAAGAAAATGATGACGATGATGATGAAGAAGATGATGAAGAAGATGATGGGGATGATGATGAAATCGGAAAATGTGGTAATAACTCTATTCTACCATTTTTCGAGGCTGTTGAGTTATTAAAATCTAAATCAAATGCCTCGCCATCACCATCGTCATCATCTTCATCATCAATGTCTTCATTATCATCATCACCACCACCTTTATGTCCGCCACCACCACCACCACCACCACCACCACCAACACCACCATCACTTCGGAAGCATTTGTTCCAAAATGCATTGCTAGGAAGTTCTGGCTTCCACAAAACAACATAGAACTCAATATGATCAATAGTAGATGATGATGATGACGATGATGAAGATGATGATGAAAATGATGATGATGATAATGATGATGATGATGGCGTGTGGTGATATTTAAGCATGCCTTCGTTTATATCAGATTGAGTGATTAAAACCTTGCGATAATCAATCAGACTGCTATCAGCGCCGTCGTCAAAATATTTCAAATTATAGCCATTATCATTATTATTATTATTATTATTATTCATTGTCAACATTCTTCCTTTGAAGCTAATGCGTCCGTGTCGGGGCAGTTTGCGAACCATCAACATCAATCCATCATACCTGCTGGCTTCCTTGTAGCCATTCTTATTATTATTATTGTTGTTGTTGTTGATGTTGTTGTTGTTGATGTTGTTGTTGTTGATGTTGTTGTTGTTGATGTTGTTGTTGTTGATAATGTTGTTGAGGAATTTGTTAGGATGCGACGGTCGGTTCACGTTCAGATAGTAACTTTTAATCGTAATGCTACCGTTCGTTCTCACATTGACCTTCCTCATGGTCAGCACGTACCGATAATTGGCTCGATTCAAGTTGTGCACCGACACGCAGACCCGCACATCGCTATAAATGCTCTCCATCCCCGGTACCATTACTTTCAACATGAAATTATCGCTATCCGACTCGGTATGGATGTGCTTGTAATAAATAACGGATCTATCTAGGTCGAGTTGAGTGAATGAGGTCAGGTTGTAGGCGTTCATCGAGTTCACTGTCATTACGCGACCGTATTTCGGTGATGTGACGATGTGATATTTAACCGACCGAGGCGAAAGATGTTTATAGATACCGGTATAATTCGAGTCATCGTACATCATTAGTTTTAATGACTCGTTGCTGATTGGCTGAAGAGCTCCGGGGTAGACTCTGATGTCGTCCAATAAAAATCGAGGAGACGGAAAAATGATGGAGATGGTGAGGTAGAGAGAGTGATTGCCCAAATCACGCACTTTGACATCCACGTAGCCTTTCTTCGAGTCCATTGGGAGGTCTGCAGTGATTGGTTGGACAGTTGGCTGGTTCGAGTGAAATGACGCCTCAAAACAACACTTGCCACACAAAAACAGTAAGATACTTTTTAAAAAAAAGTTAAAAAGCAAAATCACCACGATCACTACCAGCAGCCACAACAGCAGCCACAACAGCAGCCACAACAGCAGCCACAACAGCCACAGCACGTCGGCATTAACATTAACCAACCCCTCAGGAGGTTTCCTCTCGGTACATAACTAACAACGCCTTCGTACACGTCTCTCATTGAGAACTTCTCCAGCAATTGGCCACGCCTACTTTTGAAATCTCCGAGTTTGAGTGGTTGATGAGATAAAATTTCAAAAACTAGGTCGCCCGGTTCGGTGTCTAGGTCACGAATTTCGAGGACTTCTTTGTCAAGAGGAGTCGGATAATCTAGAGCGAATTGTTTAAGAGCAAGCTGAAAAAATGAATAAATAAATAAATTTCATAACCTGATGAGCATAATAAACAACTATACAACCGCTGATGAAACGAACAAACAAAAGCAAACATACGAACCGGGCCAAACATGCAGTCGTAGTGAACTTGTGCCAAGCAATATCGGTGGTTCGTCATCAACTGACTGAATATCAACGAATAAGAATTGAGGTTCGCTTTGTTTATTCCTGCTGGGCACACAGGCCATGATCATCATCCAATCAGAGCCGGTCTCACTGCCATCGTGCGCGTATCTGATTCGCTGACCTATGACCTGCGTGATGTGTGGTCGAACTTGAGCATTGAACATTTGGTAGAGTAATAATTATTTTCTTCTCATAACATTAGTGCTCCAAAATTCAAAAATTACTCAACGAGCAGTAACAAACACACGACAGGACAGAGCAGAGCACACTCGGAAAGGTCAGATGCTTGCCCGCTCTATCGAGTTCGAAACGTTAAAATTAGAGACCTGCCGAGTTTGTTTGTTTTTCAGTTTAAAAAAATAATCATTTTTTCAAAATTGCGGCGTGTTTTTGCTATTCACTCTCTGACTCCTGGCCGAATAACCGATCAACTATTTGGCTTCTTGACAAATTCAGTGCATCTCTTGTTAAAATAATTCATAACTGCTCAAATATTGATCGGCTATAAAAGAAGTTGATTTGTAGTGATGGGGTGTCGTGTGAGTGCAGTTGTTCATGTATTATTTCATTAAATAATGAAATGTACACTGTATGCCAACCTCATCCATTGAAAAGAATCTGGCTACTTCGTTGTCGCTGCCTGCATGTGCATACAATTTTCACGTAGGTTCATTACCTCACAATACATTACGTTCATCATGTATGTTGTGTCACTAATGAGTTTAAATAAATTTGTTAGTAAATAAATTAATTCATTCATTCATTCAATAATTAATTAACTAAAGTTAATAATTTATTGAATGAAGACTGAGCTAGACTTAACTTTAAACAACACTCCATGCGAAGGAGGCTTAAGAACCACGATGAGCACCCCTCCAACTGACAAGTGGTATCTTCCAACTGAGATCACATCTTCAGACAAAACTACACTGCTACCTTCGTCTATCTGTTACATGAAATTTACATATAGATACAATATCATATCACGTATCAATATATAGTTATAATGTAGATACAATATCATATCATATCAATATATAGTTATAATGTAGATACGATATCATATTACGTATCAATATATAGATATAATATCATTTTAAGTACAAAATATAGATAAAATATAGATATAGTATCATATTATGTATCGTGAAAAACGAAAATGATATACAATTTGATGTAGAATGAAAATTTTGTGACCGGTAACTACTAAAGAGTTAATGGAATCACCTTAACTGGCTGCACTTGCAGTGGAACGACGTTCTGGATGATTTCAACGCTCACTTGGACAGTCCCAACATCCTCATTCATGTATTTCATCTTCAGTTTCATCTCATCTCTGTTCGAACCTTAGTTATAATTATTATTAATTATGGTTATTTCTATAATTATTTATTATTATTAATTATTATTACTTCTATTGCTATTTAATATTATTTGAAATGGTTGGAAGGAACTTGAAGGTACCTCCTGTTGTGTGCTTGTAGAAAACCTTCTTCGACTTCAAATCTCTCATTGTAAACATCAAACTATCGTCATTCCATAAATCGTCGTCGTCGTCGTCATTAGCCACCATTTGAAGCTGCTGATGGTGATGAAGAGGATGATGATGACGGTGCAAATGTTTACTATTGTTGTTAAGAAGCTGCTGCTGCTGCTGGTGGTAGTAGTGGTGGTGGTGGTGGCGATTCATACCACTGGCACTTTCATCGCCGCCATCTTTTTCAACCCTCTTCAACAGTCGCCCGTACGCTGGCTTCTTAACAACTTCAAACAACAAATCATTCTCTATATCGTGATCAAAGGACGGTGATGGAGAAGGCGGGAAGAAAGAGGAGGAAGAAAGGTTAAATAAGGACAATTTGAAAGAGAATGACAACAGATTGATGTTTTTATTTCGTTCCCTGCTAGCACCAGCATCTTCATCATCTCGTCTGAACTTCACGACTATTGTTTTTTCATCCATGATGGTCGAACTCAACTCATCGGCCAACAAATCGTATATCGTTAGGTAAATGCGTGGTTCATCATCACCAACATCTTCACCAAAATCTTCATCATCATTTTCATTCCAAGTTACATTAACAATGACGTCTACAGTTGCGTCCAAATTCCAGAGCTTATCCCATCCCCGCAGTTTAAATCCGTCTTCAACTTTTATTTCCATTATTTTCGTTCTCCTTCTATCTACTGGTACGTGTTTAGCATTCCAATTTGAAGTGTCTTGCTGCTTCTTTAAAATGCTTCTGTGCCTTTGATCTATGTTGTTGATGTTGTTGTTGATGTTGTTGTTGTCGCTGTTGTAATTGTAGTTGGTCGCCAGATAAATTTTTATCTTGGTGACATTTAAACAATAGGTTAATAAGCGCTTGTTAACGTGTTGTTGTGTCAATGTTGAATAAAGTTTTAGCGGTAAAAAATTGGTCTTGCAGTTGTTGTTGTTGATGTTGTTGTTGTTGTTGTTGTTTTGACCAAGAAAGCTGCTAAGTGCCAGTTCTTGGTGGCTTAACGTCAGCCCAGCAAACTCTGGCAACTTCATGAGTTCGTACCTCACGCTCCTACTTACTGTAGATTTCAAAAGTAAGTTTTTACCAGTCACGTGGTTTGCAATGACGTCATTCGATTGTGTGACGTCACGAATGTTATTTATAGTTAGGTGGATGATGAGAGGTTGGTTACTGACAATTGTTAGAGTTGAGTTTTGATGTAAAATTGTGATGTTGAACGTGTAAGTTTTGTTGTTGTTGTTGTTGTGGTTGTTGTTGTGGTTGTTGTTTGGCTCTTGATGTGAGCGTTGTCTGAAATTTTTAACTCTAAAGACAAATGAATCCTCTCTCGTTGATTGGCTAGAACTTTGTAGGGCAGTGACGTCACTGATGACGTAACGTACTCTCATCTCGTTGATATCTCTCTGACTGAAGGAGTCAACAGCTTTCCAAAGATCGTCATCGTCGTCGTCGTCGTCTTCGCCATCGTAGTCGTCGTTCTTATCATATAGGCCACGGTACCCATTGTGACCATCGTCATCATCGTCTCCGGTTTCATGAAAAATTTTACGACGTAAAGTTTTCAAAGATAATTTTTCAAATCTTTGCAGGACGCCATTTTTGGGGCGTTTAATGACATCATACAGGATGCCATCATCATCATCATTTTCACCACTATTATTACTTTCATCATCATCATCGTCACTTTCCTCATCAACCTCATCAATATCACTGTTGCCACAGTAGTTATCCAGTTTAATATCTGGCGCCATTTTGAAGGCCAAATTATTTGACCTTATGACTTTTCGACGACCTTCAACAATGATGCCCTTCACGCTGATTGGCTGCAGTTTAATGGGAATGGTATGAATTTGCAGAAACTGCATGGGACTCGTTCCTGATTGGTCAGTTACCTGGTTGGATGGTTGAGATAATGATAGTTTGATGGTGACGACGACGACGATTTCAATCGTTCAAATGAAATTAAGATTAAAATACTTTGCCAGGAACAAATAGATATTTATTAGAACGCAATCAGAAGACTCAAATAATACAATAATCAAACATTTTTAAAATCTTAAATTAGTAATTAGCGTACCGTGAATCCAACGATTTGATTGGCTGTCCCCGCGTGAATGTAACTAACTCTCCCCTCGTTAACATCATCCTGACTGAACACATCCGTTCGTCTTGCGGTCCTCAAATATCTGTCCGTCACTTCAAAATAGCCGAAATTTGATTGGTTCTCTTCAACTTCACGCCTATTTCCTTCCACTATCAAATCACTAATTTGCTCAGCATGTACCACGTGCCACTGCAAATGATTTGATTGGCTGGAGCTGGCCTGCAGAGTCTGTGACGTCATAAGGCATTTGGACCAACGAGGAAGAAGTAATTTACCCTCCAGACCCAACTTGTTGATGATTGGATGAGCGGATGGTGGCGTGATGCGAATGTGGATGGTCAGCGTCAGTGGGAAGATGCTATCCAGGGATGTGACTTCATTATCATTATTATTAATATTATTATTATAATTATTATTAATAATAATATTATTATAAATACCATCACTATTGAGATATCTATCATATATATCATCCACACGAGCAACATCGTACATGTTTCCATAGTTATCATTCAGACTGTCATAATCATCATCGTCGTCGTCGTCATCATAACTCGTCTGACTGGCATTATCCACAAACATTGGCGTTCGATCGTTCTTATTGTTATCGGTAATATTATTATTCTGATCGTTATTATTATTATATTTGCTGTTGTTGTTGTTGTTATTTAACCGGATGTTGATGACGATGACGTCATTCCAAAAATTAGATCCGCCATGTTCGTAGTGCAGCATCTTCACTTCCTTCCAGCTTAGCACTTCTTCTCTCGCCAAATAGTGGCGATCTAAAGGTTCTATTTTAATTTTTTTACTCTTCGATCTTTTCTTTTTATCTTTAGTTACGTAGTTTTTAAAACTTTCAACATTTTCTTCTTGAGTTTTAAGTTTGTTTTTCCGCTTCTTTTTCTTCCTCTTCGTCATTTTGTTTGATGTGGCGCTTAATTTTTTAAACAGCACTCCGCAATGAGGCAGCTCCAAGATGTGGAAGGACAACACGTCACGTGATATTTGTTTGTATCTTTGGTTTCCGCTGACGTCAAGAAGTTTGTTTATATTTTTCGTCACCTGCCTGCCAATGTTTACAATGCCTGAAATGTCAAGGACGACTTCCGTCGAGTGCTGTCTCAGTGCTGCTGACTGCGGGTCGATGTTGTTGTTGTTGTTGTTGCTGTTGTTGTTGTTGTTGTTGTTTGGGTTGGAATTTTTTATTCCAATGATGTCATTATTTAAATCACTTTCTTCATCATCACTTCCCTCACTTTGATCATCATCATCGCCGACGTCATCCTCATCATCGTCATCACCAATTTTTGAACCTCCTCCAGTTGATGCTACTTTCTTTCCATCCACTCCACTTCCGTCAGCATCTTTCCACTCGCCGATGCATTTCTCCCAAGTTATGCCGTAACAGCATGGCGATCTGAAGACCTGGCTTTCCATAGCCGTCTCCAGCACTCTCTCTCCATCCACAACAACATCTCGCATGCAGCCGACGAACGAGTTGTACACACCACCACTTCTACTGTCGCTACTACCGTTGCTGCTGCTGCTGCTACTTTTGCTATTTTCCAAGATGAAGGATGCCGTAGTTCCAGCAATGAACAAATACTTGTCGACATCCAGTTGGGTGTACTTGCCTGGAGATGATCCGCTGTTTAATGATTGGTTGGTTGGCTTATTAGTTTGCTGGTTGGTTTTTTGGTTGGTTGGTTGGTTGGTTCGGTGGGCGGGACGTGGTGTTGTGTGGTGAGATGTGATTGGAGGATTAATTGATTGGAATTGTATCTTATTTAAAACTTGGAAAATCGAATAATAAAAAATAATTACTAATTAATTACACCAATTGATTTTTTTTTGAACAAACGGTGCACAGTACACAAGGTATTCAAAGATTGCACTTGAGGCAAGAATTACAACACATTAAAAACATATTCTTCAATCACTCACTCACTCACACACACACACACACACACACACACATATATATATATATATATATATATATATATATATATATATATATATATGTATACAATATAGAATGCACATTAGTTGTTCGCACGGTTGTAAGTTATATAGTATGCTGCACACTTTCATTTCTCCATATTCATTCATATCCAATCCACAGGCGCTCAGTAGTTTTCAACTTTCACGCACACACACACGCGCACGCACACACACACGTACACACACACACGTACGCACATGCATTCAGAAAATAAAAGATAGACAGATTCCCTATTACATGTATACACATTAAACAAGATGAACGTACATAAATGATGCAATCAGAACTTTCAAACCGATAACAACGTTCACCAACACCTGCAAACAAACAAACAAAGATAAGAACAAGCAAGGAGACAGACAGACAGACAGACAAATACAAACAGAGAGACAGACAGACAGAGAAACATGTACAAATATGATATTTTTCCTGACCGACTTTATGTATCTCAGCAAAAGTTCGCAGAAAGGGAAACAATGAACGCATACATGATGACGAAGATGAAGAGGAAGAAGAAGAAGAAGATGTTGTTGTTGTTGATGCAAAAGATGAAGATGACGACGACGACGATGATGATGATGACGGTGATGATTGTAAATCCGTCAGAAAGAATTAGACGCGTTGAATGTGTTGTACTAGGGCTAATTGAAACAGTTGATTTGTTTTGTTATGTGCGGTAATAACTGTTGCTATCATTACGAATTCGACGGTGAAGATGAAGACGACGATGAAGAAAAAGATGATGATGATGATGGAGATGATGATGATAATGATGGTGATGATGGTGATGATGACGGAGATAGCTAAAGATGAAACGAAAATAAATAAATGAAAAGCACGACGAAGCAATGATGAACGAATGTTCGTAGCGTTAATGTTTTGAGAACTATTTAGAACATTCTTTAAAAACTTCACCACCCACCCACCTAACACCCACTCACCCACCCACCCTCGCCAAAACACCCCCAACCCCCACCTACTGACCTGACGTGAAACGTGTGGTCAACAGCGAGCGTCAGATTTCTCAACTTGCGGTTGAAGTTGACCCGATGCCAGCGACCGTCATTCACGACCACCTCCCTGTCCGTCTGCAATCTTCCCTCTCCGGACCCCAAGTCTATTTTCAACTCTATTCCGCCATGCCTGTTCACAGTTAACAGAAAATAATCCCTACTTCCGATCGCCATCATCAGCATTGATTCCGTCCTCTGATTGGTCCTGATGTTCATGGTCACTTCCGTTGTTGTTGATGATTTCCTCCAGGGCAAGGAGGCGTACCCGTTGCTCTGGAAAGTTGCTGGGGGCGTGGTTTGTTTAAATTTATTCAAGAACATTATTCAATAATTGATTCATTTAAATATTTAAAATGTTTTTCCCTTCACAAAAATGTACGACTAGCATCTAGTATGACATTTTGAACAGTACCTGTGAGAGAGGCTGAGATGAGTTGGATGCTGGCGAAGTTTGCAAAGATGATGGTGAAGATGACTGCCTGCCCGTGAAGAAGAGCTTTCATCATCAGCGGCTTCATCATGGATTACTATCCCTTACTGTTTAGAATCAGAAAGGATGTATTTCATTTTCTATTTATCGATCGTTCCATGTTACTTAGCGATACAACACAAACCAGTGAATGTATGATATATACAATTTATTATTGTTAGTTCCGCTTGTAAGTTCCACAAAAATAAAATGATATTTCATCAGCGTATATCATCACCATATCAATTAGTATCCACCATTATCATTATATCCTTATCATCCATCCAGTATCTTCAAATTGATTTCACGCGATGTACCTCGCTATCATCGTCAGCACGAAGTTTCATACTCATTCACTAATGTGTGTATTACAAGCAAGAACTTATTTGAAAGTTTTGTTTCATCTATGCATATGTATACACTAACTGTGATATATATATATATATATATATATATATATATGTATGATATATGTGTATGATGCATACACTGTGTGTGTGTTTGTGTGTGCGTGTGTGTGTGTGTGTGTGTGTGTGCGTGTGCATATGTACAGTACACACGTCTATCTACCTATAAAAAAAGTTGTACGTCAGTTTGGAGCTAGTATGAATGATCATAAAAATTAAACAAAAAAAATCTCCAGAATTATAGAAGCATACATGAAGATATGTTACGAACTATAGACTAAATCGAGCAGTTACATACATACATACATACATACACACATACATACAAACATACATACACACAAACATACACACATACATACATACGCATACATAACACGCACAACTCGACTCTTGGAAAAAAACTGAATACCGTATTTTATATCTTTACCGGAAAACATTTATTCATTCAATTGCTTATAGAAAGTTGTAGTCTATTCATCGAATATTTGTTTGTAATTGATAGAAATTGGAAAAATTTTATATAGCAAACAACCACAAGCCACCATCAGCACTGACTGTTAAATGACTGTTAATTATAATATGAGCTCTGAGCACGAAAATGTATAATTTGTTAATGGAGGTTCATATGTTTTGCATGTATAGTACCATCTTGAATCATCGATCGAACAGTTATCATTTCTTTAGAATGGGGTACTGATATAGTCAATTAAGCTGGTAGTTTGTTTTTAGATTTATATAGCTCTTAATATTCTGAGCTTGGAAAGGTATAATTTCATAATGGAAATTCCAAATTATTTTACACATCGACCGAACCAAAGCAGATGTCTATTCACCGATATACAACACTCTCTTATGGGTTGAAGTTGGGATATGCAAAGAATCTCAATTTTTCAACTTTTAATTATTTTTGGTAATGTCGATTTTATTTTTTAAAATTTATACCAAATAAAAGTAATTAATTACCACATTGAATAACAATATAAAAAAATTTTAACTTTTTAAATAAAAGCAATATTCCGTAATTAGTAAATATACGATCGTAACTTTTGACTCGAACAATAAAAAATCACCCTCCAACTCTCCGCCGGAAGTAAGCTCCATGTTCGACTGTTGCGAAGTGAGCAAAGGCCGTTATATTTATTCTAGTTATATGTATCAAACAGTATCTTATTGAACAAAGTAGTATCATGAAAAGAATAAAGATACTTTTTTCAAAAATTTAAAAAATTCTCAATTTGATTTCATTGCGATATCGATGATGATGATTGTGACCTGACTAATTAAAAAACATCAAATAAATAGGATGGGTAATTCGTTCCGAAATCGTTGGAGGAAATGACGTCATGTTAACAGTAGTTATTTTACTGCATGGTAGTTAATCAGCCGGTAGGAAGGTTATATTCAATTCCTATCAAATAAATTTGACCAAATATCATACGCAGGCAGAACTAAATAAAGAATTAAATATATATATATATATTTTGGAACGAGGTTTTCTTTGATGCAAATATCGTTAAATATTTTTGCCCATTTTGCATTAATTAATTTTTTAATAAGGATTTCGGCAACACGAAGCTGTTTTAATTCATATTTATTATCATTATGTGTCATCCTAGGCTTACAACGTTGTTTCGACATACAGTCATCATCAGAGCCTGGTTTGATATATATATATGTATATATATATATATATATATATATATATATAGCATGAAGATTTTTAAAATAGGATGAATAATTTGTTATATTGGGATATTCGTATATAAAGCGAGCAAAACTTCAATATAAAAGCGCTTATAAATCTACACATATTGGCTCAGCTTGGCTTGGCTCGACTTGGCTTGGCTCGACTTGGCTTGGCTTGGAATCGGATGTTAAGCAAGGGTGGTCTCAAACTATTTTGAATTCTCTCCGAAAAATTTGAACTGCGTGCGTACATATATAGCACTGATTACTGTTGCTTTTATAATGAATTTATAATATGTTATAATATATTATATTTATATATGACTAGAATCCATGTATACAAATAATTAATAAGATTATATGTTTATATAAAAAGCAATATAGCAGATTTAACCAGCCAATCAGAAAGTTTCGAAGGCGTTCGTTCGATGACGTCAATTTAGTAAGGTTGGCATTGTGGTTAAGACTGTATGATAGTGTAGTACATACATTAAATAAGTTTTTTGCTGATGTGAATGATTGAAATGATGAAAATGTATGGTTGAAACGAGTATAAATAGTGGCTGAAACGACATGAAAATCAGATCAGGCATTCTGCCTCGCTTGAAGCAGTCTGCCTGATCTCATTTATTTGATTTTTATAATTTTTTATTTTTATTTATTTTATTATATAGAGTTATATAGAGTTTGCTTGTCTGTGGTTTGTGTGTTTGTATGTTGTATTTTTTTATATTATAAGTGGGTTCTTTAGCGGTTGCTCATGCATACATACATACATCATGTTTGTTTTTGTGGTAGTATTTTATGTTCTGTTTTACTCTTTTTTCTCTTTCTTCATGAGTCTTGAGTTAAGTTAATGAAACATAGGTAGGTGAGATTAAAAGTTAATTTATTACATAGGTAGGCTAGGGCATAAGGTAATTTAGTTACATAGGTAGGTTAGGGACTTCTATTCTTTTACTCTACATGGTGGTGTGTTTTTTGTTTTGTTTTGTTTTGTTTCACATTATACATAACAGGTACGCGGTGGTTCCTGGTTTAAGTGGTATTTTTATTGATTGAATGTGGTAGTATGCATGGTTATATAGAGTTATATAGAGTTATATAGAGTTATATAGAGTTATATAGAGTTATATAGAGTTATATAGAGTTATATAGAGTTATATAGAGTTATATAGAGTTATATAGAGTTATATAGAGTTATATAGAGTTATATAGAGTTATATAGAGTTATATAGAGTTATATAGAGTTATATAGAGTTATATAGAGTTATATAGAGTTATATAGAGTTATATAGAGTTATATAGAGTTATATAGAGTTATATAGAGTTATATAGAGTTATATAGAGTTATATAGAGTTATATAGAGTTATATAGAGTTATATAGAGTTATATAGAGTTATATAGAGTTATATAGAGTTATATAGAGTTATATAGAGTTATATAGAGTTATATAGAGTTATATAGAGTTATATAGAGTTATATAGAGTTATATAGAGTA